TTCCCCCTTGATCCGCGCAAGGATCAAGTGCTCTCTATGGGTTGATTCTTCGACACTCCGTCACGGTGAATCACCCACAACCGCTCACAACTTGAGTTGGGTCATCCACAAGCTCTCTGGATGATCACCAAGCTCTCCAATCACCACCAAGCCATCTAGGTGATGGCAATCACCAAGAGTAACAAGCACAAACTCTCACTTGACCACGACAAGCCTAGGGAGAAGGGTGGATGCACACTTTGCTACTCTTGATCTCACTAATGAGGGCTCTCTTTGGGATTCTCAAATCTCAATCACCTCACTAGGACCTTACTCTTCTTGACACTCTCTAAGGTGTGTTTCAGCTGTTGGAATGAGCAAAAGCAACTCCACACACGAGTGGAGCTTCTATTTATAACATGGGCTGAAAAACGAACCGTTATGTGCCACTGCGGGGTGACCGGACGCTCCGGTCATGTTGACTGAACGCTCCGGTTAGTTCAACCCGCACACCAGTGTTTAAGTGTTGACCGGACGCTGGAAGGGTCCGATCACCACTGATCGGACGCATCCGATCGCAAATATCCCTCACTGGAACCTTACTGGAGTCGACCGGACGCTGGTCCTCAGCATCCGGTCACTCGACCACTCAGCGTCCGGTCGCACCAGACGCAATCTCCTTGGTCAAATGAACTGACCGGACCCTACGGCCAGCGTCCGGTCGCACCGGAGCCAGCGTCCAGTCAGTATTTGACCCTCCATTCACCTCCAACTCTCGATCATATGTGAATGAAGTTCGCTCCATAGGATCTAAGGGCTTTGTTGGAGCTACCTAGTGCTAGACTTAGCAAGTGTGCACCACACCTAACTCACTAGACTCACCTAGGTCAAGCTACCCGTCCATACCCCCCTTAATAGTACGGCCAAAGGAAAAACAAAGTCCTAAACTACTCTAAGTGTCTCTCCAACTTCAATCGACACTTAGAACTAGTCATCCTTAACCTTGTCGTCCATCCTTTGAAAACCGAAACGATTTCCATCGTAGGAGCATGACATCCATGATTGCCCAATCGATCTCCATTACCATGACCTAACTTAATTGCCTCTGCAAAACACACGTTAGTCATAGTAATCATGTATTGTCATTAATCATCGAACCCCAACTAGGGGCCTAGATGCTTTCAGCGTAGAGGCAGGGCGTCGGCGACAAGTCACCGTGGAGCAACAGCGTGCAGAGGAGGTGGTGTGGGGCTGCGGGACGCGGCACGGTAGCGCTGAGCTGAGGGCGCGGGCGCGCTCGAATGCGAGGAGGAGCTAGGTGCCGTGCGCGGCTCGTCCCCAGCTTCATAGGCGCGACGAGGGAGGGGACAGGGCAGCACGGCACCCCGCGGTCAGCAGCAGCGTGGGGCCAGGCGCAGCGAACGGATGGCGCGACGCACTTGAACTCGAAGCAGCCAAACCCGAGCGGGGGCAAGCGAGGCAGGGACGTGTCGCATCGTCCCTTCGACTGGGACCGGACGACCACGATGCGATGGGCAGCAGCAAGGCGACCATGGCTGAAGGACGAGAGCGGGCCAACGAGGAAGCAAGCTCGTGTGGTCGTCTGCACGTCCAGTACAACAGTAGAGAAACAGACACGCATGCAGAGGTAGGCAAGGACACGCAACGCAGAGACAAACAAGATCGAGGCAGCAGAAAACAAGCGCACGAGGGGAAAAAGCGACGAGCCAGGCATTGGCGGAGCTCGCCTCCAAAGCAAGCGGGGGCCAGGGGCCACTTCACAAGTCAGTGACAAAGAAGCAGCGAGCGCCTGAGAGATGAATCAAAAAGTAATAGAAGACTAGCTACCAGCTATGAGCACCTCGGAAGACACAAACATGTGTGGCAGTGAAGAAAATAGGGAGTGCAGACTTTTACTACTAGCCAGTGATCACGTGGACAAAATTTCTACAAACTGCACGTAGCAAGGGGGGGCATCGCCAGGATGGCCTCCACGTAGCTCCGCCAGTGGAGCCAGGTGCAGTGCAGGGTCGGCAGGGCAGCATGGCGTGGTTGCATGTGTGTTTGCACTTGCTTGCTTGCTGAGTGCACTCATGTCCTGTGCGGGTACTGCTGCCGGGTAAGAGCTGCTGTTACTTGTTGTTTGCTCTGGAATGATGCGACGGAAAGCAAGGCAGAGAGCAGAGAAAAGAAAGAGCGAGGAGCAATCGGTCAACTAGTACAGTCAATCGCTACTAGTATCGCTGAGTACGTTTGCCCTTTCTTCTAATTCTTTGTTTTAGAGTTATCGTCGTAACGATATATATATATATACATATATATATCTAACGGTTTGCTAATTTAAATAATTTATAACATCTAGGCACAGGAAAATTTCAACAAAGCTCGATTTTAAATTTGATTCAAAGCTATATATTTGTATATCGTTCTATTTATTAATGGATTTTATTTTATTTATAAACGTTGCTTTTCATGCTCAATCTAATAGAACAAACCGTTTGCTAACATCATCGTTCGACATTCCTAAATATCTTTACGCATTGAGTATTTTAACTTGGCCGTTTATTTGAGTCCATAAAATTAAGTCGCATAGGATTCACTCATCACGTCAAGTACGCTTTAAATAAAAAATCTGAGAAACTCGTTTCAAAAATTTTACTTAGGCCTAAATCGCTGTGCTAAACGAGCTCATAACACAAGGGTGTTATAGCCTCCATCCAGTGCGCTCGTCGGCACGAATTAGAGGTTGGGGAGGCCTACGCTTGCGCCCCCATCCAATGCGCCTGTCGACAGAAAGGGGAGGCATTCGCGTTGCACCTGGGGTGTACGCTGGACCGTTGCTCTCGACGTCCCTCGGAGCCGAGCTTACTTGCTACCGGAGTTCTCCACCAGGTAGGTTGTGGCCACCGGCGACGCTGTGTTTCAAATGTTTCAGACTTATGTTTTAAGTGTTTCATTTGAATGTCACAAATAGATCTTGGATGTTGCATATGTTGCAAGCCTATATTTTAGGTGTTTCAGGTGTTTCAGACGTATGTTTCAAGTGTTTCATCTGGATGTTGCATATGTTACTATGGCTCTATACGTATGTTTCAAGCGTATGTTTCAAGTGTTTCACATATTTCAGACTCAAGTTGCAAGTGTTTTATCTGGATGTTGCATATGTTGCTATGATTATATACGCATGTTTCAAGCGTATGTTTCAAGTGCTTCATCTATTTCAGACGTATGTTGCAAATGTTTGATTTGAATGTTTTAAAAGTAGATCTAGGAGAGCACATGTTTCATCTTGTGCAACCGCCCTGCTGTTGCTGCTGCTGGGGGCTCCGTCATGGGTCACCGTGCGGGTGCCTGAGGCCGAGCAGACTCCTCCACGGCACGCATCCGCAAAGCGTGACTGGGACCCATGTGGGGCCTGGGGATGGGCATGGGTGCGGCATGCGGACGCGGGGGCACTGACGCTGAGATGGGATGCGGTGCGGGATATCGCACGGGAGCTGCGTCCGGATGCGCCGTCCGTCCGGACGTTCGGACGCTAGCCCTTCCATTTTATATTTTCTGATGTTTTAGGATGTTTTGATGTGTTTTCCCTTTCACCAAGAAGTCCATTTCAACATGTTGCGTTTTATTTTACTCCACTGATACTGTTTCTGGTTATTTTGTTTTTTTCTCCTTTCACCAAGAAATTAACCGGCGAAGTAAGAAAAAACAAACAACCAGCTCCAACCAATGGGTCTATTTTGCTCCAACAACGTTGCATATCCTAGGTGATACTCTGCGCATTGGCGTAGGAACTCTAAGATGTCATTTTTTTATATGGCTTATGAAAAAACATACATTCAGAAAAATATACATTCAGAGATGACATATAGGGGTTGTTTGGTTCACAGCCCACGCCAGCCACCCAAGTTGTGGCGCCGCCGAAGACTCTGGTGGAAATAAGCATGCTAATGAACTGAAAAATGTGTCTACCGCAACTTATGCATTAACCAAGCAGCAATCAAACTTTTGTGGCGCCGCCAAAGACTCTGGCAGAAATAAGCATGCAAATGAACTGAAAAAAAGTTTGGCTGCTGCAACTTAGGCATTAACCAAACAGCAACTAAACTGTTGTGTCAGCCACATGCATGGCGAGGCAACGTTTGGCTGAGAACCAACCACCCCCCATAGTATTACTAATAGCTCAAAATATAATTGATGAAATCCATCGTGTAATATTATGTTAGAAATCATAGAATTGTTACTGTAGGATTTAAATAATAAATAAAGTAGAACCAAGGCTGCAGTAGAGAACCAACCAACGGAAATGACGCCATGAGGCGGGTAAATGAAAATAACACTAAAATCTTATTAAATAATTAATCTTGAAAAAAGTCCACATTATCTTCCTCAATTTTTACGAAAGTCTGTTTTTCCTCCTTGAACTCTAAAACCGGGTAAACCATCTTCCTGAACTTTTAAAACCGTTCATTTTACCAACCTGACCGGTTATAAGCGGTTTTCAAAGTGGTTTTGTCTTTTTCTTTTTTATTTATTTTGGCTGAATTTTTAAAAAATCATAATAAATCACAGAAAAGTCATAAAATGGAAAAATTCAATTTTGTTGGACTGCACATGAGTATATCTACACAGTGAACACATAATATGATATGTTTTAGTATAATTTTTTTATGCAGCTTTAGATCTATACTTTTCTATAATTAATTCATAGCTACAGTTTCTATGATACAATTGTGGTGAAATTTTTATGGCAGGCTAATTATTGTATGCTTGAGCTATGGTAAAAATTTCATATACCATAAGAAATCCAACTAAATGAGCTATGTTTGTGATTAAGAATTCGCCGTAATTCTAGTTCCTTCATTCTTGTTATATATAATGCTTACATGAAAAATACAGGAGTAGAAAACTAAAAGAGTATTTACAGTAACGAAAGAGGCCAGATTGGTTGGATTTATTCTCATATATCACTAAAGCACGTGCATAATACTAGTTCGTGCAGCGTATTCCGTCGGCGTTAATTAGGCATTAACCGGAGCAAAGCGGCTGACAGGGTGCAAAATCAGGCCTGTGTTTTTCTTTCCAACCAGTCCTGCAGCCTCCCAGACATCGACATCCTTAGGCTCCTCTCCGCTTGGCAGCTTCCAATCGAAGTGGTACAGAAGGCTGGCCAGTGCAAGCTCCATGTTGGCCACTCCAAGGTTTGCTCCCGGGCACATCCGACGGCCAGACCCGAACGGGAGGTACTCGTAGTATGTCCCTTTGTAGTCTAGGTTGGTGTTCTCGAACCGCTCCGGCTTGAATTCCTCAGCATCTTCCCAGTACCTAGGGTCCCTACAGATGGCCCAGACGTTGATGAACACGCATGTGCCCTTAGGGATGTCGTAGCCCATGACCTGGCACGTCTCGCGGCATTTGCGTGGGATCAGGAGCGGCACCGGGCAGTGCAGCCTGAGCGCTTCCTTCAACACCAGCTTGAGGTAGCTAAGGTTTGCCCTCGCCAGGTCGTCCTCCGTGATGGTGGTCTTCCCCTTGAAGGTCTCCCGGACCTCGGCCTGCGCTTTGGCCATCGTGGCCGGGTACCGGATCAGCTCTGTCATGCACCAGGTCAGCGTCGTCGACGAGGTGTCGCTGCCCGCGCCAAACAAGTCCTAGTAGGGACCAAATTAAACAGCAATTTTGATCGGTTAAATTCCATCTTGCTAGCTAGCGTCTTTCTGATCGAAGCAAAGCAAAGCAAGCTAGGCGGTGATGGGAACAAGATCGACTTACAAACATGAGCGCCATGACGATGTCGTCGGTGAGCTCGATGGGCAAGCCGGCGTCCTTCTGCAGCCTGAGCAGGACAGAGATCATGCTCTCGTTTGAAGCCTTGTCACCCCGGTCCATGGCTTCCCTGGTCTCGCAGATGATCTGGCCGAGGATGCGCGCCATCTCGTCGCGGCACGCCATCGCCTTGCGTGGCGCCGTGCTAAGACTCTGCAACAGCCTAGATGACGGGAAGATGTTAGCCACGCTTAGCTCCGCCGACACCCGGATGGCAGTGTCCAAGGCATCCAGGTACTCCTCCTGATACTTGCACCGGCTGCCGATGGACTCCCTGACGAAGGCATCGTTGATGAAGCTAGAGATCATCTTGGACAGATCGACGGTGGCGCCGGCGCCGGCGGACGCGGCGAGGCTCCGCATGAACCGCGCCACCTCGTCCTCACGGATGCGCTGGAACGACTGCACGCGCGATGCGCTCAGCAGCTCCAGCACGCAGAGCTTGCGGAGCTGGCGCCACTGCTCGCCGTAGGTCCCGAACACCAGATCCATGCCGTTGAAGGTGAGTATGTCGACAGTGCTGTTGATGTGACGGTCGGCGAACGCGACGTCGTGCGTCTTGGTGATCGCCTGCGCGGCCTCGGGCGACGACACCACCAGCGTGGGCACCTCGCCCAGCCACAGCATCATGAGCGGCCCGTGCTTGTGCGCCAGGTCGCGCATCGCCCGGTACGGCAGCGGGTTGCTGACGAGGTGGTGCATGCTGCCTATCAACGGCAGTGTCCATGGCCCTGGGGGCAGGTTTAGCTTCGGCTTGGTGACGAGGAACGACTTGAGCTTGGAGAGTACGGCGACCAGCGCCACCACGGCCACGGCGAGGAGAACCTTGTCCTCCATTGTGGCTACCTAGCTACTTAATTGCGTATATATGCTCGATCTTTTTTTTGTGTTTATTATGTCCGTTGGACATGGTGGCGACCGTGGCTAGATTTATAGATATAATATAGACTAGTAGCAGTGGCAAAGGGATGAAATGCAATAGCTTCGTTTTAAATTTTGTATGTTGTGGGTGGAGGCTAGACGGTCCAGGTCAAACCATCGTGGCTTGACGTTTGAATAACGGTAACGCTCAGACGCGAGCGATCCGGATGGACGGACGCTTCGTCCCGAGAATGCGTGATCCACTCCTTTGCATGCTGCCGCTGCTATCTACACTCGCCCTTTGTGTCGTCGCTGCCGCCCTACCCCGCGCCCACCCCACCCTCTACACCACCATTGTCATCCCCACCTGCCCTCTACGTTGCCGCCGTATCCACACCCACCCTCTGCGCCACCATAGCCACACACACCCGCCCTCCGCGCCATCGCCACCCATGCCGCCCCCACCCCGCCCTCTGAGCGCTGCCACCCAGCTCTGCGTTGCCGGCAAGCTCTAAACCGGTGACCTCCACGCACCGACGAGTCTCCACTCGCCGAAGCAAGCAAGGAAATGTTGCAGACGTGCGTTTTAAGTGTTTCACGTGTTTCAAAGGTACGTTGTAAGTATTTTATATTGACGTTGCAAAAGTAGACCGGGATGTTGCAATGGCTATACACGTATGTTAGAAGTGTATGTTCCAAATGCTTCATCTGTTTCAGACGTATGTTGCATACATGTGCAGTGGCTATACACGTATGTTGCAAGTGTATGTTCTAAATGTTTCATCCGTTTCATACATACGTTGCAAGTGTTTCATATGCATGTTGGAAAAGCAGATCTCGATATTGCATATATATGCAATGGCTATACACGTATTTTATAAGTGTATGTTTCAAGTCGAAGCAGAGCTTTCCCAAGCTCGAATTTGTCAACGCAGAGCTCGACCTGACCTCCGTGCTATGCAGATGCGGTGCCCGAAGCCAAGGTCTGCGACGGCGTGAGAAAGTTGTGTGCGAGAGGAAGAGAGGAAGAAAGGGAAAGCCAGCAAGTCTGTTCAGGGCATGAATGCCTTCTGGTGGGAGTGCGCCCAAATTATCATTCGAGGGATCCTTAACGGACGCCAGGGCGCCAGCAACGCCCTTTGAATAAGTGTCAAAACCAAATAATATTTCTTAATTCTTAATTGGCATGCACTTACCACAGTCAAAAGGCAAAAATTCATTTTCCTTATGTGGATGTGAAAATAAAGGCTTTTAAAGAAGCGTGTATACTACTACTAATGAACTAAATTCAGGAGAAGGCTATTTTCAAACCAATCGTGATAAAATTAGGACAGAGTGATGTGATTTGAGATGATACAACTTCTATTTTTATGGACTGCATATCTCAGATAAATATACACTAACTCTTTTAAATTTTACAAAAAAAATTATGGATTGCAGATATTATAAAAATATATGTCAAATTATTCACAAATTAGTCACAAATGTCAGATGTCAGACAAAACCCAACCACAAACCCACCCACAGCCACATCCCGATGTCGAGGCCGCGGAGCTCGAGCAGCGTCGCCTCCGCCGGCAGCCGCGAGCCCATCCCCGCGCAACAGCAGGTCGCCGCTGTCTCCTCCCCGGCCGGCTGCGCACCATCGCCATCGCCCCTGCAGCCGCTTGCCGCCACGCAGTAGCCGACCACGTCGCGACCCCACCCGGAGCGCGCGTCCTCTCCCTGCAGTCGCACGCGTCCTCGCCCGGAGCGTCGCCTCCGCCGCGCCGCGACCCCGAACCCGAGGCTGCTCATCCCCTGCGGCTCCCTGGAAATCGCGTGTTGAGAAGACGCAAAACAACCGAGTGGTAGTTAGGATTTCTCTAAAATTAAACTAGAAACCAAAGTTTTACGCTTGAGCAATACTCCCTCTGTCCCTGGTTAAATGTCGACGTGGAAAACGTGCCGGTCAAACTTTCTTAAATTTGATTAAGTTTATACAAAATATTAGCAACATTTGTATCTAAATAAGTTCACTATGAAAATAAATTCATAATTTATCTAATGATACAAATTATGGATTATACTACCTCCGATCCATTTTATCTAGCGCACACGTATATCAAGATTCAAACTTTAAAAACTTTGACTAATAATTAGACTTATAATTTTTAACTATTATAATACAAACTTTATATGATTAGATTTGTAAGAAATTATACTATCAAATGATTATAAGTTTGTAAGTATAAATTATATAATATAAAACAAATGAATGGTCAAAGTGTAATCTAGTAGACCATGTCATTCTAACTTGCGTCAGGTAAAATGGACTGGAGGGAATAACTATTAGTATATTTTTATATATATTTGGTTAAAATTGAGGATGTTTGACTTCTCGGTAAATAAGAAGGACGGTTGAGTATGAACCAAAAATGGAAATTCCAACAATTATTTTACCATAATAAAGTTGTTAACATATTCTAAGGCCTTGTTTGAATATGCATATATTCATCACAATCCACATATGCTGAAGTGAATTAGACTGTCTCCAATAACATCACCCAAAATACAAGACCCATTTTATGTTTGGGTAGCACTACAGGTAATATTTCTGGTCTTCTTCAACAACAGGACCCAAAAGAGAACTCTCTCTATAAATGAGTCTCCAAGAGAGATGATACTCATATTTAGCTTGTGCCTCTGCTATAATCTAAAATGGGTCTCATATATAGGTATTATGTTGGAGGCTGATATAGTACCATCTACGATCTATTTTGGATTTGAGTCTCTATATAGGTTATCCATTGAAAACAACCTTAGAATGTAATTAAACTAAGTTTCATTCTATTCTACTTTAATGCATATAAATTAAAGTAGATCCACGCGAAAAGTCCTCCGGCATTCGACGTGAACCCAGTATTATAACGCTGCTGTCCGGTGGAGCAGCCTTGACCGGTGGACCCGACAACGCCATTGTTATGTTGCCATCAGTGATGCTTAATAATTCTTCATCACATCACATGCTTAGTCCTTGGAATTTTCCCACGCGGGCGGACCAGAGAGTCGACAGCACCGATTAGGAACACACAAAGCGCTCGGCGTCGCATCTGTTTGCTTGTTTGTTTCGAACAAGAGTCAGATCACGTCTGTGGAAAAATCGCTGGGATCAGCAGCAAGTTCGCTCGGTCGTATTTGGTTTATAAGTCATGATTTATCAGTCAACAAACAGTATTTTTTCTCTCATATCAAACCAACCAACAGTACTTTCAGTCATACCTTATAAACCAAACAAGTCCAAACAAATAGGACGCAGAGCTGCTGCCCCGTGAGCCTGGAGACCTGGAGCATTGGCCTGTGATTCTTTTATTATTGGGTCCCGGCAGGTCAGCGCCTCAGCCCAATTTAAGGCACGCACGACTAACGTCATGGTCGCTTGACTTATAAGCCGTACTTTTTCAGCTAATAAATAATATTTTTTCTCACAATAAATCAGTCAGTCCTTTCAGTCATAACTCATCAGCCAAGTGAACATGACGGCTGCCAAGTTTTTCCACGCACATGCTTGGACGAGTAACTAGTTTCTTTTTCTTTTCTTTTTTTTTAGCAAACGAGTAACTAGTTTCTGCACACGTGCTGTGCCTGTGGACTAGAATCCGAGTATGAGCCCAGCCCGCGACTTCAACAGTGACAGGTAAGGCCTGCTCGCGTTGCGGCAGCTTATGCTGCAGTCGTAGCTGCAACTTGTCAACAGCGCTGATGGCATCAGCGGCAAGCCGGAGGGGAAGCCATGGAGCCAGCTGGGCCGCGCCGTAGCATCAAAACCCGGAAGCCGAGCATCCACGTCGACGGCCCAGAACGTGTAATACGCTACGCGACCAACTTGTACGGTAGATGTAGGGGGAAAGACGGTTAAGCATTTGTTGTCATCGACCGAAATCTAGGCGATTGATTATCAAACTGAAAGTAGAGATTGTCCAGAACCTTCCGGTCCGAACGGCCGGACGGGATGCACGCGCCGAGCACCGCTCCCGCCGAGCTGGATTCTGGATTCGATGAGATTCGCTGGATTCGATAAGCACGCGCAGCAGCCCGATCCCGTGTTCAGGCACGTGTACGCTAGTTTCTCTTCTATGTTTCTTTTATTTCTTTTTGTTTTATCTTCTTTTCTTTTTATTTTATTTTATTTTCTCGTTTTCTTTTTTATTTTTGTGCTTCATTTTTTATTTATATTTATTTTTTGTTTTATGTGATTTTTTATTATTCATCTCATTTTTCATTTTTATGTTTCTTTTTTTTACTTTTTTCTTTTTTCTTTTCTTTTCCTATTATTTTTTATTTCCTTTCTTCAACTTATTTTTTTATTTTTTTACATTTTTTCGTTTCATGTGATTTTCATTATTCTATTTATTTTTATATTATTATTGCTTTACTATAATTAATTATTTTGTTTGTTTTATTTTACTTTATTTTTTGTATTGCATTATTTTTTATATTTCTTTTTTTCCTTTTTCTCTTTTGACTTTATGTTTTCTATAGATTTTTATTTTCCATTTTTCTATTTAACCTTATTTAATTATTTTTTCATGATATTCCATTGGATGCTATGTTCATATAATATAAATGTGATGTTCTATGATGTTTTTTGCGATGTTCATGTGGTATATAATGTCATGTTCTGTGCTATTTTTTGTGATGTTCATGTAGTATACATGTGATGTTCTGTGATTTTTTTGTGATGTTCACGTGTTATATATGTGATGTTCTATGATATTTTTTATGTTCACGTGGTATACATATGACGTTCTATGGTATTTTTGTGATGTTTGCGTAGTATACATGTGATGTTTCACGTAATATACAATGATGTTCACGTAATATACAAATGGTATTCTTTAATGTTTTTTGTGATATTCACTTAGTATACATGTGATGTTCCATGATGTATTTAGTGATGTTCACGTAATATTTAGACGATGTTCTATAATGTATATTTAGTGATGTTCTATGATGTATTTAGTGATATTTACTTAGTATACATATGATGTTCTATAGTATATTTTAGGACGTTGAAAAGTATTCATGTGGTGTTCTTTTAGATTTTTCTCTATTAACAATAGCTTAGTTGCAGTGACTTTTTCTGGACAGTAGGATGCCCCTGTTTCATGTACAGCATCGCCTCCTTTGGACAGAATTTTTTTTTCAACAACGAATAATTTTAACAATAATTTTTTTCACCATATTTTGCAAGAACAGCACCTTGCACTTGACAAACAGGCCGAGAGTTAGCTGTATAGCTACTGCAGGAGAGTCGACAGGCCGAGAGTCTCCAGGAGGAACTCGAAGCCAAGAGTTAGCTTCAGCGCGAAAACCAGCAGACTATATTGGGAAAATTTTATCTTTGGATGCTATATAAGGAGCCTATCATTTTTGTGATGCTAAATGGGGAATTTTCTCTAGAACTTAAGGGAGTACAAGCTTCCACGAGACTAAGTTGCCCTTATCTATTTATATAAATAGAGATTTGCTAGACCAATTCAGCCATTGAATATCCTACCTGATTTTTGCTCAATAAGAAAAATTGTTACAGCTACAAATGTATCAGCTCCAAATATATAATGTACATAGTAAAAAAAAATACAGGAATTCGATATGTACCATTGCCATCAGAAAGTAACTGAATTGTAAACAAACATTTGCCTTTTATTGTATATAATCTCACTTGGAGTGCACTGACAACACTGTATTCCTAAAATCAAAATTCGGCCACACACAAATGTCATAAAAAAAGTATAAAATCTAATGCAATATGTCCCATAGATACGATATGCCGACTATTTCAAGATGATAAACTACACAATTACACTTAACCAAAGATTCCTTTCCTCGACCAGATAACTGATACTAGGAGTTAACGTCAGCTAGGCGTATGGTACATCACGACACCCATCGAACTATCCACCAGCAAAGTCAAATTAGAATGCGATTGCCCCTACCGACATAATTTACAAGAATTTTCTACAGGTAAAACTAGCTGGGGAATAATAAAGTAAATAGCTCATTGGACGCCACCAAGTATATTAAAGCCTAGTGTTCATGCTTGACGCGCCCTTTTAGTATCCCTGGAATAGGAGGCGAGTTTGGTACCCTAACTCCTCTTGGCCCTGGAGGCTGTGGTGATTGATGCCAATAATTGTTCGGTGTACTGGAGCACTCACCTCCATTCACAACAGGAGCTTGCGTACAATCAGTTTCTTCTTTGCCAGATAATCCCATTGCTTTCAGTACAAAGGTATCATCCTGCAACTCAAAAGGAGTGCTGCATTTTTGAGAAATATGCAAGTCAGCAAGGGTTTAGCACTCAGGAGCCCTTCATGCTCAGTTATAATGACTTAACGCCTTCAGAATGTACATAAGATCTTGAAGGCAAAGCAAAAAAAAAAAATAAAATAATAATAATAATAATAATAAAAAAATGAAGACATCTATTACAGAAATGAGAAAACGCTCATCAGTTCATGTGAGTAAAAAGGCTAGTTAGATGTTCTCAAGTGAATAATAATTCAACAAACTGGCATTCCATCTGCTCATAGATTAGGACATTAAGATCACAGAAGGGAGAAAAGTCATCAGAGCCCCCTGATTAGAAATAGACAGGCTGTACTTTCAAAAAAAAATCAGGCAACCTAGCATTCACAAATCATTAAAGAGAGTTTCATGTACTAATTGCATAAGAATCATGGAATAAAAATGTTGAATCATCCAGAAGATGTTATAGATCTAACACATTCTTATGAACGGACATCTTTTCATTAGAAATCCAAAATCAGGAGATACATATGTTATTAAAGACTATTTATCTGGCTCACAAGATATGCAAAGGGGAACAGAATGTAATTCTTGTCTTACCTATTGAAGTCAAAATGCACAAGCTGCATATCTTCTGATATCTCCACTTCTACAGTTGCATGAGGACGTGTCTGGTTACACAACAAATGGAGGTAACTGTCACTTAGCACGTCAAGGCCAAAAAAAATTATGGAACTTGCATAATGAAGTTGAGAAGGCATAACACAAGGAATAAAAGTGATGAACAGAGTAACGGTAGCAAAGCAACAAGAGTTCACTAAGAATGCTTCTGCATGGCCTTAATGCTAATGATTCTTGCCATTATAGTTCACTAAAACAGATCAATTCAAAAGTCATAACAACAGACACATGGCACCAATGCTCAGTTCCTCCATCAACAGGTTCGTGCGTGCCTTGAGGAACGTGGAGAAGGGCCAGCTTCATTGAAAATGAATGCCGATGGCGGTGAATTTCTCGGTGAGGACATGGATGACATTGAGGACGAGGGTGCAGTCAACCACAGGCTTACTGAGATCACCGAGATCGGAGAGGGCGTCGGCCATGATCTTGAAGCACCGGCAGTAGTCCACGATCAAGGGATCACCTTGAACGAAGTAGCAAAACTCTGCATCGAGGTACAGTGCACACATTCCTGGTTGCCGAGAAACTAGGTCTCAATGGTGAGCCAGGTAGTGCGTGCAGAGACGGTGTTTCAACACCATCCCAACCAACTCGTTGCAGATCGTGGCGAGGAGCATTGACTTGACCTCACAGTCCAGGCGCATCAAATCTGATAGAGTTGGGTCAGGGTCGTCACTGAGGACATGGGCCTCGAGGGAGTACTTCCCAAGAGCGGAGGAAGAGCTCGTGCCATCTAGAGTAGTGGTCAAAGGTGAGGTCAAGGATGAGAGGCACCAGGGTGCAGACGTTCTGTACAAAGACCGTCTGGGCATGGGCATGGACATGGGCGTGGGCGTGGGCATAGAGGTTGGCCAAGGCGGCAGTCTCATGGAGAAGGAGCGGATCATGAAGGGGAGGGGGTCTGTGTGCACTGACTCTCCGTCGGACTCAGCACGGTCATCATTGACCTGGATGGCTGCGCGCTCCAAAGCGACGTGCTCTTGGTCAATGGCGTCCTAGCGATCCTTGGCAGCGGTGGCGGCTTCGTGCTCAGCAGCCTCCAGGGCGTTGGCACCATCAGTGCCAAGGTGCCACCACGTACCTTGGCAGTGGCAGTGAAGCGCTAGGGCGCGTGCAGCTTCCTCAGCTTTGGTGGCTGTCATGCGCCCGCTATCGGCCGCTGCAGCAGCCTTGGAGCGCTCATCAGTGGCAGTGCCAAGGGAAGAGAAGGAGGCCGGTGGCAGCCCAATAGGCATGACAGCTGGAGGGTGGAGTTAGGGTTTGAGCGGAAGCAGAAGGTCGAGGATCGACCAGCCTAATACTCCCTTCGTTCCAAATTATAGGTCGTTTTGACTTTTCTGGTACATCCATTTTGCTATGCATCAAGATATTAATATGTCTAGATACATAGCAAAATGGATTTACCAAAAAAGTCAAAGCGACTTATAATTTGGAACAGAGGGAATACCATGTAAGAATATGGCACGAAATTAATGGATGGACTATGGAGGATAAAAGGTTACACATTTATCGGCAAGGATGGCCGGATGACCTAGGGTTTGGCTTATAGAACAGAAACAATCTACGGTGATCCTTGCCTATAATGACTCAATCATAACCATCCTAATAACCTAATTATGTGTGGGCGCATAGCCCATAGTGACATCAACCGAGCAGCCCATTGGGCCAGCTACCCATGTGTCATAAAGCAACATAAAGATACCCCCAATTTCAAAAAAAAAAATTTGTGGTACCCACCACCCACTAAACAAAAGATGAACCAGCTATAGTTCACAGTGTTTTCAAGAACTTGCTCGGATTCCAACTACTGAGCTTCAACTCCTCTTATTCAAAATCTCTGTCCCAAACTCAACAATAGGAACTTTTATGGAAATTAGTCATATATTGAAACCTTGTTATTTTATGAATTTAAGACTTCGAAGTTAAATATCAGTTAGCCTAAAAAAATAAATTTCTTGATCAATATGTAGCATGTGACTTGAGGCATTTCTATCAAAAAATAAAAAATAGAAAGTGGACACTGTGAAAGTCTAAACAAATAAATAGGGCTTGGGATGGTGGAACATTTCTATTCAAATCCACAATGGAATCCATTTGCTTCCAACGATATCTCGCTTGCTAGGATATCTCTGAAATGGCTCAAAATGTTCTCTTTCGAAACTGGCATTGAAACATAATGATACAATGAAGTATCTCTAGATCCATGTTTGAAGAAGATGGAGCATTATTTTTACCTTAACTAGTATAAATGGCAAGGCCACTCCACCGGAGGGTGCATCTCCCGACCCATATAGCTGCTCATTCCGTCGAACCAAGTTTTGGAGACATACATACTTAAAAAAAAAACTCATAAGATTCACAAAGCATGAAGTAACATAACAAACGAATGAGTTCAAAATATTTCAAATTCAACATTGAAAAATGAAGGAACAAATATCAGCACTAACTCAATCTGCAATGGAGAAATACAGTTAACAATGCATGGCTCCATTTACTAAAAACGGTTTCATATTAGTTCTGGAACATGATTTTACAATGATTAATTCTGATCGAGAGACAGTGGCACAAAAGTCCACTGAGCAGCTAACTACATAAAAAAAAGATCACTTAGCCATACAGGACCCTCCAAAATATATACACCTTCCGTCCCAAAATAAGTGCACGTCACATTTCGAGTCAACTATTTTCAAGTTTCAACATTTGTATATCCAAATAGGTTTACTATGAAAATATCTAGCGTGATTAACCTAATGATTCTTATTTGGTATCATGAATATTAGCATTTTTTTAATATATTTGATCAATGGATTGGTTGACTCCTCGAAATGCAAGACGTGCACTTATATTTTGGGACGGAGGGAGTATTTCTGAAATCCATGTAGCAACTGAATCACTTTTGCTTTAATTATACAATCCAACATAAACTCAAATGTATCTCTGCCTTTTGCTTTAATAATGTAACAAACATAGTTGTTAAGGCGTCGCTATACCGACGCCATATCGTCGCCATATCGCCGTGGCGTTTTTCTGGCTCTCGCCACGGCGACGCCACGGCTCCGGCATGTATGGCGTCCGCCATAGCGCCGTGGCGTCCCCGTGGCGCCGATTTGGCGTCCTGTGGCGCCTTTGTGCGCTGTAGCGGGCGCAATAGACGGTGAGGGTGAGGGTGAGGCCGTGAGGGTACCTATATAGGCCGAGTGGCCGATTGGAGCCCTCCGAGACCGAGCCCGAGACGCAACCGCAAGCAGCCCTCCGAGCCGCCGCCGCCGTCGGGACGGTCGCCCTCCGCCCGCCCCCGCCTGGAAATCCGTCCGCTTCGCCCTCCGTCGGCCTCCCCCGCCCTCCATTGGCTTCCCCCGCCCTCCGTCGGCCTCGCCCGAGCCCGAGCCGGCCACCCCCGCCTGGATCTCCCGAGCCGCCGGCCCGCCGCCTGGATCTCCCGAGGCGCCGGCCCTCAAGCTTCAGCGCCCGCCAGGTACTCTCTCTCTCTCTCTCTCGTCTCTACTCTGTTCTGGTGAGTTGAAGTGCTGAACTGCTGATCGGTCATCGCCTCATCGGTGAAGTGGTCTCGTTAAGCATTGGCTAGTGTTCCACTGTTCTGGTCTGGTGAAGTAGCGTGCTGACTGTTGAAGCTCTCTAGTCTCTAGTCTCTAGTTTGCTGCACAAGCGAGTAGTGAAGTGGTGATCTGGTGAAGTAGTGAAGCTCTCTAGTCTCTACTCTGTTATGCACTTTGCTCAAGAACAGAGAACAGACCTGTTATGCTGAAGTAGTGAAGTAGTGAAGGTCTTGATTTGCTAATATTGTAGACTATACCTTTTAAGCTACATTTGCATTACCATTTGTCAATATAATTTCCAAATATCCTAGACTATAATGTATGTATTCGCCACGCCGATGTGTGTATGGCGTCGCCACGCCGTGCGCCATAGACGCTGTAAAGGTGTGAAGGTGGCGGGTCACCGCGCCTCGCCACGCCGCCGTAAAAACTATGGTAACAAATGAGCAGAGAAGGCTAGGCCTTCACCTAATTCTGTATGCACCTGGCTGTTGTGCTACATCAGCATGCAGAAGCGCTTCCAAATTTAAGATCCAGGAGAGTTAATTTTTTTTAATGCTATTCTCAAAATAGTCTCATGGACAAATGTACAATTAATTTTGAGTGCAACAGAAACCATGAAATCTACAATGCTAGGTATTTCACGTTTAAAGTGTATGAATCAAAAGTACTGCATAATAGGTCACCAGTCATAGTTTTATATAAGATAAGATTGGGGGACACATAATATTCATATTATCAATTGGCTTATACCATGAGGAAATTAAGAAAGAAGGGACCAGTCAATTCTTACTTGATCTTGTAAATCCTGCAGATATGCATTTTTCTTGTCAATCCGACCTTTCAGTCCAATGACCTCTGTCTGCAATATATGCATAAACTTAATGAAATGAGTAGAAAGGGTCAAACTCTCAGCAAATCCACATTATTAGAGATAAGGAGCAGAACCTTCAATTCTTCAATATCATTCATACTTGTCTTGGGCAAGCCTCTCCATTGTATTTCCTTTTTATCTTTAGATATAATTTCCATAGCCATTAGGACATTCAGCGCATCATAAACTCTTCTTCGAATATTTTTCTCATCATATTGTTGCTGCATTTTTAATATAATCAGAATGGCATTTAACTACTTGATAAATCACTGACCAAGAGTCATAGTAGTATTTCTTACCGCAGAGGGATTATCAGGATCTGGAGAGTCAATATTGATATTGGGATCTGAAAACTCAGCAACCAGTTCATCTGCCACCTGAAAAATGCAGGCCATATGCATAAATTTTCTGGTGCTGCAACAGATTGATAGAAGGAGATGCAGGAGAAAGGGGATGCAATGTTTTCATTTAACTAAAAATAATGATGTGGAGGAGGGACCAAATCAGAATCTCCATCCCACACTGTTAAACCAAGATATATTCCTGGTATTATCCAATATTATGAAGTTGTGACGATCCACAAGAGTATCTTCCCAGAATATTGTTCATTAGTTAAGAGTTATTCCTTTTCTGAAAAATAAGAAACTACAAACAATAGTTTGATGCTGTTTTGTGTTTTTCATGCCCCAGAAAAGCACTGATATTGACAAGAGGTGGCAAAATCCACACAGTAACAGTTTACTTACGCATATGAACATATGATGTACTCCCTCCATTCAAAATTGTAAATCATTTTGGCCTTTTTAGATACATAGATTTTACTATACATCTAGACATAGCGTATATCTAGGTGCATAGCAAAAACTATGCACTAAGAAAAGCCAAAATGACTTACAATTTGGAACGGATGGAGTAAATATAACATTTTATTTGACACTTCTTATCAATATCAGTCTTCTGGAGATACCCGCTCTTCTGCTGAAAATCCACACAGGTGTAAAGTATATGGGACGAATGGTTAAACACATGTGGTTTACTTGTGAACTTTGGAGGTCAGTCTGTATCTTCTGTGCTACTCCTATGGCAGTACCTAATGTTCACTGGCTGCTTATACTAATTTCTGCTTTTGCAAAAAGGGATGTTACACAATGTAACTGTACCAAATAAGACTAGGTATAGCTAACATAGAAAAGAGAGTGGATACCTCATTGTAGGTTGTTCTCCCTTTGCTTTCGACTTTCTCACAGACTGAAAAGGAATAAATAAAAACTTCATGAAACTTGTAAACCTAACATGCAGTGAACTCCAGCTCGATAAATTGGCCCACTCAAGCACAGTATAAGCACATGTATGATACAAACAAATCAAAGAAATAATTTATAAAAAAATTGTGGCACGCAGAGTTGAAAAAAAAAGAGAGACTTTTGTGTCAATCTCATTTCTCTTATGCTCACATAAACCAAAAACAAGTGAAAATCACAGGTATGAGTGGTAAAAGAACTCTTTAAATCACCTCTCATGCTAAATTGGCGCAATCCACGGCCATTTTTGTCAGGACCAACTGCATGTGTCCCTCTCTTTTTCTTCTTGCTGCGTCATAAATAGAGAACCAGCTGTGTTTTAGAAATGTGTTACGTAAATGGCCAGATAAATAATTGAAAATAAGACATGATGCAAGTTACCAAATATGAAACAGTAGCAAGCTGAAGTTACAACGTGGTAAAGCAAAACAAAATTTAAGTTATTTAAACATTACTAGTTCTGGATCAATCAATAAGCTAGAATATCCAACCTCGGAAAAAATATACACCTAAAGAAATCAACAAGGGATACCGGCCCTGTTCGGCAGGACTGAAAAATACTGTTCCGGCTGATTGTTGTGAGAGAAAAATACTGTTCTGGCAGGACGTGAACAGTGATTCTGTGAGAGGAAAAATAAGCCAGCTGGCTGGAAACAAGCCAGCCGAACAGGGCCACCAAAGGTGGCAAAAATAGAAAATCATCCATAAGTCATGTTCTCTATGCAAAGGTGCCATGACCTGCTACAAGAGCTATAAAAAGGACAAATTCCAGAGTTTCCGTTTCATGATAGAATGAACAAATACAAAACCAATATAATTAAGATGCCACAATCACTAACTAGAATTCCCAATATTAATACAGTAAGTTGAGAAACAAATTTAAGAATAAATTTATCAAGCATGCAATGACATTAACAACAATGTTGTGTGGCTTGTTTTAACGTGCTTGTGAAAGAGCCATAACAGTTTAGTCAGGTTCAAAAGGATCCTCTAAAAACACTAGCGACCACTCCCACCAATTCGGCAATTCCCACACTCCAGAACAAGCTAAAGACCACACATAAGGCAAATCTAGAGCAGGAACAAATGCAGATCGGCATGGCACCATCCACACGACCAAACCCCCTTAGCTCAAACCCGCAAAACACCACTAGCTCACGCGGCACATCACACAGTCTCTCTGAGCAAGTAATTAAGCAGGGGAGCCGAAATCCCAACTCCACCAACGATGGAATCAAGCCGGCGGGGTCACGCACCTCGCGGCTGGCTTCAACGATGGCGCGTCGTCGCCCTGGAGGTCAAGTCCGTTGAGGCAGCGGGCGACGGTGCTCTCGCTGGCTGGCGTGGAGACCGACGCCGAGGCCGAGGGCGCGGCGCCGCCCCTGTCGGAGGGGGAGCCGCCCCCACCACCGGTGGACGCGGAGTGGGCTGCCCCGCCGGAGGGTCCGGCACCGGAGACCATCGCGAGCTCGGATCGACCGGAATTGGGGCGGAGGAAGAGGGGAGTAACCCTAGCGACGCGACGAGAAGTGCGATGGGAATGGAGTCCTGGGGTCTGGAACTGGAAGGAGAGGAGATGCGAGGGAACGGCAGAACCGACCAGAGGGGCACGGGGAGAGCGCGGAGAAACGGACTTGAGAAAATTTTCTTTTCTTTTCTAGATCTCATTTTCTTGGCCTCTTGGGGGGTTTGGACTTCCGTTTTTTTATTTGGCTCCATTCTACTCGTCCTTAGGCAAATACGGTTTTTTTTAGGGATAGGCAAATACGGTTTTTTGAAACAGAAAAGAACTCCTTCAGAAAATATCCGACTTTAAGTATAGGACCTGCTTTAACAGGCCGAAATCAGGCTTCTTTTTTGAGAATGGATTTGCGAGCCCAGCAAACTCGAGTTATACGCTCACAAAGAATGAATTTCAACAACTAATTTCCCCTAAAAAACAACTAATGATTAATCTAATCTTTGCCACGAAATTTCATTTTTGAATGGAAAATCGTTAGATTTTGAACTCAAAATAGGAAGTTTTAAATTGGTACTATCTCATAGCTCATTATCTCCGGCTTAAAATCTTCGTCATTGTCCGTTCCATTCACTACCCATCTATTTACGGCGTCGCTAGCGCTCGGATATCTGGACGCTAGCCCTCCTTTGGACACCCTCGCCTGCCTAGCCCACGCTTGTCTATCCGCACCTGTTGTTGCTAGGCGCCTACGCGACTGCCTGCTGTGCTGCTTCGCATGTTGGTTATGTGAGACTGACGTGTTTGTCCCAACTGAACTGCAAGAGCTAGCTTTTTGCATCTTCGCTGATCGACTGTCTAATCTTGGTACACACTGCTATGCATGTGGGTTTACGATTTAACGCATTCACACACTCCATCGAGAATACAGATACAGTACGGTGGGAGTGAATCAAAGTTGCATGCTCTTGCGCGTGGGGACCGCCTACCGCCTGCACCCACAGGGACCGTCTCTACCTGCGCTCGCTTCCTATACTTGCTAATGAAAAGCCTTGCAACATGAAGCACTTGCTGCAACATTTAGAACATACGCTTGCAACAGGTGAAACATTTGTAACATACACTTGCAACATGTGTGTATAGTCACTGCAACATATGCAACACCCAGATAAAACACTTACAACGTACGTCTGAAACAGGTGAAACATTTGGAGCATACGCTGCAACATATGTGTATAGCTACTACAACATATGCAATATACAGATAAAACACTTGCAACATACGTCTGAAATAGCTGAAACATTTAAAACATATACTTATAACATACATTTAGAGCAATTGCAACATATGCAACACCAAATCTACTTTTGCAATATCAAAATGAAACATAAGAAACATACATCTGAAATGCATGAAACATAAGGAGATTGATGCCACGGAGTGTCGCGGAGGTTGCCGGTGTGGAGCTCATCGGCGGCACGGACCTCAGTCAGGCGAATGGAGCACGGCTGCGGCGGGAGACGCGGTGGAGGAGGTGAATCTGTGCCATTTTCTAGTCTTACGTTACCATCGCTGCCTATTAGTCTCTGCAGGTCAACTTTAGCCCCTGCGGGCGGGGCGCGCGCGGCGCGGGCAGGCGTGCGTGACACGCAAAGTCGCAAATGTAGGCGGCAGCTTGCGGCACGCAGCACGTGCGGGGTCTGTCCGTCCAGACGGACACCCTATAGGTATCATCGATCTATTTACAATAATTTACCTACCGTCTCTCCATTCGCACAAGCATTTGCTACTTAACCAGTGTCCACTTTTCTCGATCGAAACCTGTTAGCCCTCCCAATCATATGCAGTAACTCTTTCTCCTCATAGCACCACCTTGTAACACCCCGGTGTTATGCCTGCATTTAGTCACTGCAAATCATGCATATCATGCATCATCAAGCATTCTAATCACACATGCCTAATCATGTAAATAACAATTGAAACACTGCTTCGAAACATTTGAAACATGTTGTGAAACCTGAATGTGCATACTTTTGTTAGACTTGTTTTGCCCTGATTTTGCTTGCTAGGTTAGTAAAACATGTTTGGCTACTATTGTAAATCATCTAGCAATGTTTAGTTCAATTTTTGGAGCAAAGTTTGTATTCAATTAATTCAAAATTTGGCTTCAAAAATAAATTCCCAAAAATTAGGGTTTTGAGTTAAACGTGGACTTTGACCTTACAATTCAAAATCTAGAAAGAATTTGACTGTGGTCATAAAAGCAAAGTTGTAGAAAATTAAATTCTAATCAACTTTCATTTTTGGTACATTTTCAAAAGATGTCATTTTCTTGCTCAAAATAATATTTGAAAGATGGCATTTAAAAATTCCTTGAAAATACAAATGAAAAAGGCTTTTCCCTCCTTCGCGGGCCGTCGCCTCACTTCTCCCCACGAAGTCAAGTCGGTCCAGCCCTCCTCTGCTGCTGGCCTCTCGCTTCAGCCACCCTGCCACTGCTACCTTTGCCTGCCTGCCTCTGCTCTGTCACTGACGCTTGCCAGCACCATGCCACAAGGTCCCCGATCATGGCAGAGCTTGCTTCGCCAGGCGTGGCGACCATCGTCGGCGTCGCCGCCATGCCATGGCAAACCATGGCTCGACCCACGCGCCCACGCGCCCGCCTTCACACTTTGAAGCCGGTCGCTCGTTGGCTCATTCCCTCAGATCGCCTCTCCTCTCCGCTTGAGCCGAAGCGCCCATGACTACTGCCTCTCGCCACACAGCCAGACCACTGGCCGAAATCCGCCATGCATGCTCCTCCACCTCGGCCAGCAAGCACGCCAGCTCGTAGCTCCACCTCGCCCTCCTTCAAGTTGTGCTCGCATTTTATACCTGCTCGAAAGCAAGCACGCAGTAGAGCCGTCTCGGCCTTGCCACCGCCGACCATGGATATACCGCTGCGTGCTCGGTCGCCATGGGAGGCCCTCCATTCTCTTCTCCACCCCGCCTAGCTACCCTACCGCATTCGCCATCTTCTCGCATCACGTGCGCCTCGCTAGCTCACCTCCTACTGTGGCGGGAGATGGCCACCTACCTGGTGGTCGAGCCGTGCCATTGCCAATGCCAAGAAGCAAAGATGGCCTCTCCTCTCCAAATGTATGACCAGTATGAGCCAGCCATGGCCATGGGCGGCCTTTCTTTGGGCCGTCTTCCCCTCCCTTGCGCTCGGGCCACGCAGGCCGAAAGCAGTCGTGGGCCGCCTAATCCGTTTGGGCCGGCCCAATAGCGATTGAAGGAATTATTTTCAATTTATTCTTTATGATTTGAAAATAGAAATGGTTTGCAAAATGTTTGGGTACTCAAAGTTGCTCCAAATCTATTGAAATAAATTTGTCTAGGTTCCTTATCATCAGATCCACTAGGAAAAATTATTGCATGTCATTTTTGAAATACTTTTCTGTAGAATTTTATTTAATCATGTATATTGCTGATAACTTGAAAAATATGTAGAAAATTCTATAGGCTTCAGAAAAATATGATTCCAAGTTTGTTAATCTTCTTATGTCATGTATTTCGTAGGAAAAATAGGTTTCATGCATGTGTTGTGGGAAAATTTTGAGGTGTAGTTCAAGTACTTTTAATAGCTGATTTTGTTATTTTAGTTAGAGAGCAAACTTTGTATAAAACATGCATGTGATAATTTTTGTACAGTCATTGTATGCTATGAAGAACCTAGGAAAAATACTAACTCTGTTGTTTGACACTTTTCACAGTTCAAAGTATTTTTATGTTCATAATCCTGCCATGCCTTGTCATTTTTGTGTAGACTATTTTACTTATCCAAACGCCATGAAAATTTTATGGTAGTCTACTTAGAGTAGTACTATGCTACTGTAATTTTCTTAGATTTTTATAAGCACCAAAAATATAGATTGCTGTTGTAGCCCTAGTTTAAAATGAAAGAAAATAATCCTCTTAAATGCAAGTTAGTTAATAATGTTCGCTTTGGTGTATCTTTCAAGCATTTAATAAGATGTGTTGACTTAACATATTAGTAGTAGAAGAGAATGCAGTAGATGACATGTGCTTGTAGTATATTTTCTTGGATGATGTTGACTACCTTGCATTCAAAGATATCCATTGTATTCATCTCATCCGATGCACCGATTGCATAAGCACTTACGCACATTGCATCATACAGGATCGCAAACCGAGAACCCAATCGTCATACCCGAAGAGCCCGATGAGCAGTTCGAGGTGCAGCCGCAGGAAGTGCCAGAAGCCAACGAGGAGGACGTTGAGTAACTTCCGGAGTGCCCCGATCACCGTCCGAGCTCCTTCGAGAGAGGCAAGCCCCGGAGCATTTTTCTCTCGGTTTGCAATTATTTAATTAAATGCTTTACTTTAATTGATGCATTACGTTCAGGAGTTGTTTGCAACCGTTGCTGCATTATACCTTGTTTACCTTTGTTATACTATATCCTTGTTACCCTGGTATCCGCAGTCAAGTCAATGCTTAGCTGGCTTAGACCGGTAGAAGTCGGGTGATTTCCTGTCACATGCGAGCTATAGGTGGTTACCTGGATCTGCTTGGATGACTATGAAGTCATGGTATAACTAAGTGTTAAAAGAAATTGAGACCGGACGGAGACTTGCAGAGTTTTAGACTGTAGTGTTTCCGTCTGTGTCGATTAAGGACCGACCGTTGTTGGGCCTCGAGTCATGTTGAACGCATGCCTTACATTTAGCTGGCCGGATAAAGTACCTTCCGACCGCGAAGCTAGGAGATTTTTCGGGCCGAGTAGATTGCCCGCAGCGTACTGTGCCGGAGCAGGTGTGGTAGGACACGGGGGCGAGATGATAAGACCAAAGTGCAGTCGGTCGGCCCCCGGGTATATGTGGTTCCTGGCAAACTCGAGATACCTGGAAAGTTGACTCGGTGATCAATATCTCACTTTAGCGGGTGAGTGAGGTTTGTGTAAGGAATAGATCACTAGCTGGTTAGGAATCGATTCGAATC